TATATATATATATATATATACACATACATACATATACTGTCATGAAAAAGTTAGGTCACTGAATTCCATGGTTTTCTGTATTAGGAGGACATCATAAAAAATTATCTGGTCCTTGGCAGGTCTTAAAATTTGGAAAATAAAACCTCAGATGAACAACATCACATTATATATCACACTGTGTTATTATTTAATTAACAAAAATTAAACCAAAATGGAAAAACCCTGTGTGACAAAGTAAGAACATACCCTTTGATTCAGTTGCCTGTAGATCCACTTGAATTAATCATTTTCTGTATGACTTAATCAGTCTCTCACATCATTCTGGAAGACTTTCGTCCCACTCTTCTTTACAACGTTTAGTCTAGTTTATTGAGGATTGAGGGCATTTGTTTATGCCCTTGATTCGTTTATTTTCAGCCGTTCTGTTGTAGATTTGCTGGTGTTCTTGGGATCATTGTGCTGTTGCATGACCCAATATTGGCCAAGCTTTAGCTGTTGGACGGATGTCCTCACATTTGACTCTAGAATACTTTGGGATACAGAGGAGTTCATGGTCGGCTCAATGACTGTGAGGTGCCCAGGTCCTGTGGTTACAAAACAAGCCCAAAATCATCACCCCTCCACCAGCATGTGTGACTTCTGGTATGAGGTGTTTGTGTTGAAATGCTCTTTAGGTTTTCACCAAACGTGGCATTATGGCCAAACATCTCCACCTTGGTCTCATCTATTCAAAGGACATTGTTCTAGAAGTCTTATGGTTTGTTTAGATGCAACTTTGCAAATCTACAATGTGCTGCCATGCTTTTTTAGATAGAAGAGGCTTTTTTTCTGGCAAGCCTTCCAAACATGCCAAACTTGTCCCATATTTTTCTAATTGTACTGTCATGAACTTTATGGTTTCACTTGTTAGCTGAGGCCCGTAGTCTGCAGTGTAGTTCTTGGGTTTTCTGCCATTTCTCTGAACATTACGCGGTCTGATCTTGGGGTGAATTTGCTGGGACGTCCACTCCTGGGAGGATTGGTGTCTGTTTTGAATGTCTTCCACTTGTGAATAATCTTCCTCAGTGTAGAATGATGGACTTCAAATTGTTTGGAAATTGCGGTGTCACTCTTCCCAGATTGATGGCAGCAACAATTGCTTCTTTAAAATGATTGCTGATGTCTTACCTCCTTGGCATTGTGTTAACACACCTGAAGGCTCCAGACCATCAAACTGACAAAACTTCTGCTTTTATAGAGATGCTCACACTTGCTGATGATCAGTTAATCAAAGGCATTTGATTAGCAGTGTCTGACTGCTACTTACCCTCTTAATTCCTATGTTAATAGTATGGGTGTCCTAACTATGTCACAAATGTTTTTTCCATTTTGGCTTTATTTTTGTTAAATAAAAAATGGCACGGAGCAAAATGTCATGTGTTGTTCATCTGAGGTTTTATTTTCCAAATTGTAAGACCTGTCAAGGACCAGATATTTTTTTATGTCCTGATACGGAAAACCATGGAATTCAAGAGGGTGTTCTAACTTTTTCACATGACTTTCGCATTTTTGTACATGACTTTTATATATACAGTATATTACTTCTGACATAGCATGAAAATAAAGCTGTATACAGTTTAATATGGAATATAATATAGTTAGTAAGGGAAGCAGTATTAGTTATTTTTGTCTCTGATCACATAGGACCAATGACAATGATACAGTTAGCATATGTTATCATTTATATTTTATTAATATATTTTAATATCCATAATTAATCATTTTTCTTTAGACAAAACGTTAGGTAGTTGGATGGGATTTCAGTAGAAATTCCAAGTGACGGAATAATAAATTAAATGCTGAAAGATGCACAAACACATATGTTGACCTGAAACTTGACAGTGGTTGAGGGCAAGAGGACCTGAACTGACCCAGTGAGGAATGTTCTGGATCTCACATCTCTTTACATGACCGGACCTGACACTGGCTTGGTGAACGTCTTAACAGCTCATGTGGTCAGGTAAACAGGATTTAAAAGATCAGTTCAGGGGCGAGGGCTATTGAACTCTCACCTCATATCACATGCACAAAACAATTCAGTGGACTACTTCAGCTCAAAGTCTTCATGTTGTACTGTACAGCTGATAAAAAAATGGTTCGCAAAAGCACATGTGACACCTTTTGTGTCATTATGGCATTATCAAGACCAGATGATGATAATATCAAACTGTTCATTCAAATTTGAGGCAGGAGTGGTGCCATGTGCAGAAACACAATATATGGAACATCATGCAGAGCTATGGTTGATAATATGAAACCGATTATTAACATTAGAATGATAAAACATTAGATTAAATGGATAAGATTAACAACTAAAAATGTTAAATGTTTGAAACATGTAGTGATTGTACAGTACAGTTTTACAAAAAATATCCATGTCCTTATTATATGCTTCCAATTTAGTTTGAAGTCCTTAAGCCTCAAAAATAATGGATTCTCTGAAGGGAAAATCCCTTCTAACAGATTTTAAAAGGCTTAGTGTAAAACGTGCTTGTTGGTAAAGCAGGCCTTCTGTATGGTTATATAAAGAGCCATACCATAAATTAAATGAATTGAACATATAGCGCATTGTTTGCTTGAGGACACGGGGTTGAGCACTGCAAAAGGCAATGACGGTATGGACCCTCAGGATTATACAAATAATACCAAGGGGGATTTACATAGATACATCCAACTTCTTGCAGCTCATAAATGCCATGATATTTAAATAATCCGCTCTTCCTGGAACAACTGTTGCTCTACAAAATCATAGCCAGTGTTTGAAAGACTAAAGCCACTTTAATGGCAAAAGAAAGCTTAGCGTTTCAAACAAGTGCTTTAACCAAATGTCAAGAGGACAAGAAAATATATCCAACAGAACTTTCCTAATCAGGGGACAATGTCAGCAATAGGCAGCTTTATATACAATGTTTTTGTAAGAGTCATCACAGGACAAACTGGAAAGACAAGAGCATCACTCAATAATATCACTCGCGCTACATCATGTGAAAAGAAGAGAGCGAAAGAGAGACAGAAAAAAGACTGTAATAATAGTCCTTCGCAAACGTTTACTGTGGTAACTATAGTTTAAGCTAAAATATCAGAGTTGCTCTAGTTATTGTTACCACAATAAACTATATATGTCTGCGAAAGTAAAGACATAACACATTCTAAAGTTTTATATAAATGTGTTGCATTAATAATACAGAACGCTACCTACCTAGAAAATCCAGCTTTTTATTGAAGGTTTCTGAATAGGTGTCTTTGTGCCTGGAAAGGATAAAAGCAGCTCTATTATGTTAGGTTATAATACAATTTCTAAGGGTATTTTTTGTTTGTGATCATTATTTCTGCACAATGATTAGCCTAAATTACTCAATTTGTTTACACACATTACACAAATGCGGGAACAACAATGATGCCAAACATTAGTTCCTCCTGCTCCTCGTTTCCAGCCGGTAGAAATTAATGCGACATTACGCGGAAAAGTCATGTTGTAATACACAATGTATTACACAGGCCAGCGCAAACTTATGATATTTATGTGATATATATTCACAAACACCCCTTTATATGCATTTACCAACAGTTATTGATAGGTTAACGAAGAATTCGCCGACGTTGTAGTAAACTCTTCATAGTTCAGTCAGTTGTTATGGTTAACAATCTGGGTTTTTACCATAGACTGTGGTTTTTACTGGGTCATCGGGTTCAAATATGGACCCAAAACACAAAAAACTGCTCCGATCTCAGCGGCTTTTTCTGGCCGAGGAGCTTTTAGTGGACGACATGATCATACAGTATTTATACCAGGAGGAGATCTTAACGGAGCGTCATTTAGAGGAGATTCAGTCTGAGTCGTCAAATAGAAAAAAAACGCTAAAGCTGCTGGATATTCTGCCCACGCGGGGTTCGCGCGCCTTCCATCACTTTATTCAGTCATTAGAGAAAGATTTCCCCTGGATCAAAGACAAATTACTGCGACTGTGTGCTGAAGACACCGAGTCTCCTCCTCCGTCCTTCACAGGTGAGTCCTGCGTGGGTGTACTTGGCTATCGTTTGAGCCACATCTGACAGAACATCCCTTTGGGCTAGCTTTAAGTCGAAAAATACGATTCATAAATAATATAAACAAAAGGAAAGTAAGTACAAGTAAGCACACATGCTATAAATGTCCTCATTTACAGAATAGCCCGATTTATACGCTTGTTTTAAAATGTACTGGTAGCCTATTACTATACTTGTGGGGACATTTGGTCCTCATAACATAGAACAGTCCAGGTACACACACACGCACACACATAGTGGTGTGTGAACTTTATTGTTAACATAAGAGTGGGTGTGGCCATTTGTAACTTACTGTAAATGTATTTAAATAATTGTATTATTTATCACATTATTTTATTATCGTATTCATAAACACATTGATTTGTAGTGCAAATGGTTTTATAGTCTACTGTACTTTACTATCTTCTAGGCCTAGTTATTTATCTGTAGCTCTTAATGAAATCTCACATATTCACAGAAAATAGTCAACATTACTTACGCCTTGAAAACTTAGGTGGATATGCAAATCTACACTGTTTGAACAAATGTCTCCAGACACTGAGGCAGGCATGTCTCACATGTGTGCGAGAGAATAGATATATAATATAAAAATGTTATTTTAGTCAAATATAATAGATATTAATATTGTTATAGTTGTATTGTATAGTTTTTAATAAAATACAAATAATAATATATAACTAAAATAAAAATAAAGTAAATATCACAATATAACACATCAACTAAAACATAATTGTATTTTATAACATCATTCTAAGCCATTTCAAGGCACCAGTTGCACTACACGTAAAGCATTTTGTAGTCAGATGTGTTTCTATTGCCTCGCATTGCTTTCCAGTTTCACCTGATTTCACGCTCTGTCTCATAATGAAACTATTCATTTTTTTAATTGAGATGAGGTTATGAAAGCTAGAGGTCAAGCTATTACATCTCCCGTTTCTGACCGGAGGGTTAAATAACAAGTACTTTAATTGCCCTTCCTAACACTAATCCCTAACACTAAACCCTCTGTTACTAATTCAGAGAACCTACAGGAAATGCATTTAAAGCATAGCAAATTTCCATATGATTCGAAAACGAATGTTTTTGCATATTTACAGTCTGTGAAATGCCTTATTTACATCCACACCAGTCTGGTTTCAGACATTTGTAAAAACAAAGGAGTTCGCTGCATGCACTATGTATATTTCAGCTGCTGTTTCGCTGAAAGACGGCTTATTATCTGCTTTCTGTTGTTTTCCCATGTGAGAACGAAACACCCACTAATAAACAACCCTACACTGACACTCCGCATCCCTCTTTTTAGTCAGTTAACCGAACCCCAGAACACCTTTGAAAAAAACCCAAACCCCTTCCCTCCTAGAAAAACAAGACGTAAAAAGAAAAACAGAAGGAGAGCGAGGTATAAAAAGAAAAAAAAGAGCTGAAGTTGTGTTTTGAGTCTCTCAAGGCCAGGCCGGCTTGGTGCGCTGCCCTGGTTTTCCATGAAAGCTGCATTAATTCCTGGCACTAGCTCTGGGGCCCAGCACTCTCGCCGAGCATCCTCCTTTCTAGGAAAAATATAATCAAAGCTGTTTGTTGGCTGCTCTCCCTCTCCCTCCTGTCTCCAGTTACTGAGTTGAAGATTTTATTATGGTTCAGATGGTAATAAATTGGGGGATGGGGTGGAGTTAGAGAGAAAGCATAAAAGAAACGGAGGGAAAAAAGAAGCGTGCTTGCAAATTTCTTGGAAGTCGAGGACGAGCGCTACTCTGAGCAAGCATTCTTCACACTTAAGTACTCGCTTTAATTTTAAAGCTCTTCTTAGCTTAATAGGTTTGAGTCGTCAGGGGCCGTTCAGGGACACAAACGGTTGTGGTGCTTTGTTCTTCCTTTGCCGCTTTTATTGTCATCCGCTGCTCATATTATTAATATTCATGTCACTATGAATTTGGATCTTGACACCAATGATGTCATTCTGTTGGCATGGGAACATGTTTTTCATTCAAGTTGCTTTCATTCTCCATCGTTGTGACAGGCTCTGAATCTGCAGTGTCACGGACACATTAATAAATGAGACGCATGTTCTGGTTGAATTTAACAAAGCACCATCCTTATGATCTTATTACCTACTTTGAAATCGAGATCAGTCAGGTGGGGACACAATATCCTCGTTTTAAAGTGCATTTGCACACCTGCGAGTCAAGCGTATTCGCATGTTTATTTATGAGATGCTCGCTTTAAGGAAAATTATGCAAATGGTTCCTTAAGCCTTCACCTACGGGTTCTGGGAATTATCGTACCTGATGCTGTAAGGTTTTGAATTTTAAGTTGTTTACAAGGCTAAATGTTCTGTGGCAGGCCTCTAGACAAATTTATCACAACTGGCTTCCATTATAGCAGAAGTTAGCATGTTCAGAACCCTTGGTGACTGCTTGTTAGTGCGGTTGTGAGTCATTCTGGGAGCTTTCTTTTCCAAATCGGCTTGTATGAGACCTTGATCAGACATATTTTTGTTGTTGTTTTGTTCTTTACTTTGCCAGTTTTAGCCAAAGAACTGTCAAAAATGGAAATTTATTCAAACTAATGATGGTAACACTTTAGTATGGGGACTAATTCTTGGACACAATATCCTCGTTTTAAAGTGCATTTGCACACCTGCGAGTCAAGCGTATTCGCATGTTTATTTATGAGATGCTCGCTTTAAGGAAAATTATGCAAATGGTTCCTTAAGCCTTCACCTACGGGTTCTGGGAATTATCGTACCTGATGCTGTAAGGTTTTGAATTTTAAGTTGTTTACAAGGCTAAATGTTCTGTGGCAGGCCTCTAGACAAATTTATCACAACTGGCTTCCATTATAGCAGAAGTTAGCATGTTCAGAACCCTTGGTGACTGCTTGTTAGTGCGGTTGTGAGTCATTCTGGGAGCTTTCTTTTCCAAATCGGCTTGTATGAGACCTTGATCAGACAAAAGGCCATATTTTTGTTGTTGTTTTGTTCTTTACTTTGCCAGTTTTAGCCAAAGAACTGTCAAAAATGGAAATTTATTCAAACTAATGATGGTAACACTTTAGTATGGGGACTAATTCTCACTATTAACTAGTTGCTTATTTGCATTATTAATATATTGGCTGTTTATTATTACTTATAAAGCACATTCTGCAAGACCATATGCTACCCTAGTTTTTCAAACTTAGTTGCTTTTTCATTGTTTTCATTTAGCATTGTTTTTGCATTCCCTATCAGACCAGAATGTGTAGGAAGTTGACAAACAGTGCTCTACATGATCAGTAACATGTGTCCACCAGACTGGTGCTCCAAGTCATCAGACCACGATGACTGTAGTATCTGTTATTTGCACAGCTGCATTTGCGTGTCTTATATCTTCAGGTCAATCCCTTATACGTTTTTAGTCACCCTCTGTAATACCCAGCAGCTGCCAATTCAGCTCAAGAGCTTTTGCACCGTTCTCTATGTGTTCACTTTTACAGTGTATGCCAGCGTCGCCCACAAAGACTATAAAAAAGCTTGAGAACTAGATATCCAGCACATAATATTATCTGGCGGCATATGGCATACATATGGTAAAACATTCACATACAATCCTGTTTCTGTATAACAGAAGCACAGAATTTAGTTTTTTGTGTGCTATATAGCTGCTGGACGGTACAGTGCAACCAAAAGGAAAAATCTGTTGTTTCAAACCTGTATGATGTATTTTTTCCTCAAGTGGACACAAATATAAATTTTTTGAAGAAATAATTTTGTTCGCAAAGAAAACAAAAATAACGACTTTATTCAACAATTTCTTCTCTTCCGCATCAGACTTTGCACGTTCACGACAGTACCACGACACACAGAGACTGACACAGAAGAGAAGAAATTGTTGAATAAAGTCTTTATTTTTATTTTCTCTGGCACAAAAAGTATTCTCGTAGCTTCATAAAATTACGGTTGAACCACTGATGCCACATGGACTATTTTAACAATGTTCTTACTACCTTTCTGGGCCTTGAACGTGATAGTTACGTAGCTGCGCGAGGTCAGAAAGCTCTCGGATTTCATCAAAAATATTTTAATTTGTTTTCCAAAGATGAACGAAGGTCTTACAGGTTTGGAACGGAACGGGGGTGAGAAATTAATTACAGAATTTTCATTTTTGGGTAAACTATCCCTTTAAGAGATCCTGAGTTCATAGTGAGCAGGTAATGTTAAGCTCCAAATAGGACCAAAAAAAAAGTTGTACATATGATTTATATTTTAGAACCCCTGAATGGTTCCAACTCTTAATATACACTAACACCATTCCAAACTTAAGTATTTTTTGAAAGAAATCTCTTATGCTCACCAAAGCTGCATTTATTTGATACAGTAAAAACAGTAATATTGTGGAATATTATATCTCTTTAAATGAATTTTAAGATTTAATTTATTCTTGTGATGGCAAAGCTGAATTTTCATCAGCCATTAGTGTTCAGTGTCATATTATCTTTCAGAAAACAATGCAATATTTTTATGAAATAAAAATATATTTTTACATAAATATAACTTTTGATTTATTTAATGTATCCTTGCTGAATAAAAGTATTCATTTCTAATTTCTTATATATAAAGCTACACCATTTTCACCAGCATCATTCTAGGATGTAGTAACAGTGAAGTCATCGTAACGTGGGATTGATCTCTTAAGATCTTGGTTTTTCAAAGCCATTTTTTGATATAATTACAGTGAACTGAACAGATCAGGTCAGCAACATAGCAAAAAATAGATTCAACAAGTGGGTCGTTATTTTAGGAAAACGTGCTTAACCGAACGTTTGATGCGTATAAAACTTATAAGCAAGTTAATTTATAATAGCAAGCAAGATTGTTCCTAGTAACAATCACATTAGTGTCGGCTAAGCTGGACTCTTCTCCTCGTGTGACTTGTCACCTCTCTGCCTCGCCCACGGACGAACACAGGAAGGAACTTTTAATAATTT